GACATGAACGTTTCTTTGATGATAATGATAGGTATGCCACGCCATGCCAAATGAGGGATGAAATCGAAAATAAATAAAATAGGCACGTATCTCGTATCTCCTAGCGCGTTCGAATTTTTTTGTCGTTTACGCACAGCTTGCTAGTGTTGCTGAGCGCGGCAGATAAAAGAAATAAAATAATGTCAAATGAAATAACAGGTTCTCTCGTTCCTGATACTATATAAAAAATACACACTAGATAAACATTGATAAGAAAAGGTGGGTGCCAGTTGGCGTTTATCAGCTGTTGCATAACAGACAGCGCCATCATTGACTATCATGGAGACCAGGGGAGTGTCACGTGATCAGAAGCTCCACTACTGATGACAGTAGTAGCCGATGTCACGTGTCATGTCGATGTTGTGATGACAAGGTGAATGACAAGGACGAATTTTGTGTCATGTCGTTAGGAGTGTTGCTGGGAAACGGCGATTTTTTTAACGTTCGAATTTATTAATGAAGGGTGAATTGGTGATTGACATGTCACTGATTTGTATCTTCTTTCGTTTCTATTTATATTTATAATTATTTAGCTACTTATTTATTTATTTCTAATGAATGGGGCAAGGAAACACGAATCTTTAAGACTAAGAACAGGAAAAGAGAAGAAAAGAAAAGTGGAAAATGTCAGATGTATAGTGAAGATGGCGAATAGTAAAGGTAAATATAATATTTAAAGTATAAATTACAACTATACCGATGCTTATTCTAAGATATAATAAAAATCTCATATCGAAGGTATTCCCATGGTCACAGCCACAGCGACCTTGACCTTACTTGACCCCGTGAGAAAAGAGGTCCTGTAGGGGTACACATCATGGTCTTTCAGTTAAAAGATTTTACGTAATTCACAGCCGTCAAATTTCTGCTGACGTCACGGCGTATGTATGGGCGTGTGGGAATAGGCCTATGTACTTACGGGGTGGGTGTGGCGTAGGTGTGGTGTAGGGTGTGTTAGAGTGTACACGCGCTGAAACGAAATGGAACAATCTGAACAGGTGGTGGTTGTGGTATGGAATTTGAAGTTCAAATTCTGAATCTGTATATCTAGAATAGAAAATGTATTTAGATTAGGGAGGAAAAGAGTGTGAAAGATGAGAGTGGTGAGAGAGAGAGAGAGAGGAGAGAGAGAGAGAGAGAGAGAGAGAGAGAGAGAGAGAGAGAGAGAGAGAGAGAGAGAGAGAGAGAGAGTTGATATTGAGAGAGAGAGAGAGAGAGAGAGAGAGAGAGAGAGAGAGAGGGGGGGGGGGGGGGGGGCAGAGAGAGTTAAATACTGAGAGAGAAAGAGAAGACAAAGACACAGACAGACAGAAAAAGAAAAGAAAACTATGAATCCAAAAAATTTCTTTACTTACATCCTTATCTGGCAGGATGTCCGCCTCCAAGTAAGCTGTGGAAGAAACAGATAACCATTATCTAAAGTGGTCTTCAGATATTGCAGATATATTTAAATTAGACAATGAAATGACGGATGAGTGACACGGATGGCCCTTCAGTCAGATAATTTTTGAAATTGATTGATATATAGATAGATAGACGTGGACATGTGCGGGGATCTGCAGACGAAAGCATATCGTGTGAATTTTCCCACGATTTTCTTGGATTCTCTGGTGTATGTCTGGAAAAAATTGTATTATTTACTCTCACAACGAGGATGCGGACTCGATGATTAAACAGATAAATAAATAGATAAACACACGCACGCACCGCACGCAATGAAACACATACGCACGCACAGAAAACACATACACGCACACACACACACGCACAGAACACATGCACGCACACATACGCACACACCAGGCACACCAGAACCAACACGCAAACACACACTGATACTGGTGGGGTAGAGTAATAAACTTCATCTTTAATTGTTAAGAGTTAATACATACGAGTGAATAGAAGACGTCACGAGACGCCAGCGCTAGTGGTGCACGCGGTCGCAAGCCCTAGCAAGGGCAGCCGCCGCGTGGAGGGTAGTGGAGGTCCTCGCGGTTTGAGGGGCAGTTCAAGTGAGAGGGAGGGAATGAGTGAGCGGCCCGCCTCGCCCTCGTGCCTCAAGGGTGACCCATCATCGGACCCGATCTGCTGGTCATCCTGTCCTCGCGTTCATGTCCTTGATCATCCTCGTGTTGCTCGTCTTTGTCGGCCTCTTCTTCTTGGTCCTTGGTGTATTCCTCCGTCCTTGATGTCCACACGTCCTCGCAGGTCTCGCCTAGGTCCTCCTCGACTTCGGATCGTCCAGACTTCCTCGTAGTCCTCGTCCAGGTGTTTACCTCGCGGAGTAGGCGTCCACACGTCCTCGCGGATCTCGTCCAGGTCCTTCTCGGCTTCGTGCTCGTCCTGACGTCCTCGTAACCTGCGTCTGGGTCTACAGGCGTCGGGACAGGGGCGTCCTTTCCGGCATCTGACGTCGGCTGATACCTGCGGTGATGAGTTTCTGGAGTTTTGACCGGATCTACGGGCGTCCAGACGGCAGCTCTTTCCATAGCATCCTGGGGCCTTCCCTGACGAGTTCCTGGTTCTTCACTGGATCTAGGGCGTCCTGGCGGGCGCGCCGCCTGCCAGGACGCGTCCACTTCATCCTGGGCGCCTTAATACCTGCACTAACGATTCCTGGTCCTCAGGCTTGCAGCAATCTTCCGGCGAAATCCGTCTCACGGCATTCCAAGGCGACCGTACTGCAGTTAGACCTCCTTCTGTGACGTGTCGGATATCCACGGTCCATCTAATGCATTATCGAACCAGATCATACACGTAAGGGCCAAGATAGTGAGAGAAAAAGAAAGCAACAGAGAGGGATGCTGTTCAAGTGCTACTAGCCGGTATCTTTATAATAATTTGCATTTTTTAATGTTTGTTATTTCATACATTTTTCAAGAGGAAAATAAGTTGAGGGAGAATGGAGTAGCGATCCTCACGGACCTTCTTGAGCTACAAACCATCTCAGAGAGATATGAGAGTAGATATGGGAAACGACAATGGCAATCCTCAAGGATTTACTTGAAGCGATTGTTGTCTCAAAATGTAAATGTAAATGAGAATTGTGCATCATCGCCAATTATCACGACTGGCAACATCCCAGGCAAAAGAGATAACCTGCAGCTATGACACAACAAATCCTATTAAGGAAGATTTGTATATATTTACAGTGTCCGTTGTTTTGCGTGGATGAATGAGTGTGCATTGATTGCGTGTTTTGTTCTGACGTAACAGAAAACTGCAGCCAATTTTGTGTTTGCAAATGAGGTCAGTCAAGGGGATGGGAAACTGTTCACCAGAGAGACATAAATGATATGAACATTCGTGAATGCAAATAACGAAATCAGTAAGAGGTTAAAATGAACCAAAAGGGTCCAAAAAATGAGTGAATTTCAACAATCAACAAAATTTGTACAAGAACAGAATGTACAGAGAAATCGTGAAGTAATTACGCATCCCATGGAGAAAATTCTGTTTGAGAAAAATCACAAATTGAATTCGTTGTAGTTGAAACGATATAAATCTCTAAAAACTAGAGAATGGATTATTTAATGAACAATATTCATGTTTGTGAGATCATGTCCCACATCTGTTCACGAGACATGACCTCAGGTCAAGGTGAGAGACAGAGTGAGTGTTGCCATTCCTGCTACCTCAAAGATTTAAATTTTTCACCGTCAGCACTTGTAACCAGCAAAACCAACATAAGAGCGATTGCACATTTTACACATATGGGAGAAGGAAGGAAAGAGAAAAGATTGGCCCATAACGTGTACTCACGTGGTTCTGAAGACATCGTCGTATCAATGGTGATGGTCGAGCGGATTTTCAGAGACGTGTATGGTACCGTTTTGCGATTCTAAAGAATGCAAAAGACTCCGCTGCCACCAGATATAAGGGGTATGAACTCCTCCATCGATTACTGGTGGGGCAGAGTAATAAACTTGTATGGCTTCACTCTTAATTATTAAGAGTTAACACACAAGTTGAATAGAAGACGTCACGAGACAACAGCGCTGGTGGTGCACGCGGTCGCAAGCCCAAGCGAGGGCAGCCGACGCTCAGAGGGTAGTGGAGGTCCTCGCGGTATGAGGGGCAGTTCAAGTGGGAGGGAGGGAATGAGTGAGCGAGGCAGGGGCACGGCAGGGGCACGGCAGGGGCACGGCAGGGGCACGGCAGGGGCACGGTCTGCGGAGAGGCCGGGTCGTTCTTGGAGAAAGGGTGAGGACGAGTGAGTCTGAGGTCAGGCTAGGTCGACTTATGCGTGACCAGTAGGCACAAGCAGTGGAGTGGGGTGCCACACATACATCTATATATATGTATGTGTGTGTCACAGCCAGTCGCATGTTGTCTTTGATCTAATGATATTTAAAGTGGTTTTTTGTACCATAGTATCAACATTTTAGTTTTGCAATTTATAATTATAATTTTCCATTATAATTTTCCAAAAACCATGAAATTGTTTGGCTTTCCCGGGGACCCAACAATGTGGAGGAGACGTAACATAATTTAGATCGGTCCACAGGGCGTGCAATCGATCAGTTCTTGCGGCTCAAAACGAAGAAAATTTAAGGATGCCAGTGGAGGCAGCAGATAAGGAGGCAAGAAGTCAGTAACTAAAAGCTGGCTTATTCGATCACCTTGCTAACCCAGAACTCAGAACTAGGATCGCAGAGAAAGAGGGAGATGAGAGAGAGAGAGAGAGAGAGAGAAGAGAGAGAGGAGAGAGAGAGAGAGAGAGAGAGAGAGAGAGAGAGAGAGAGAGAGAGAGAGAGAGAGAGAGAGACAGAGAGAGAGAGAGAGAGAAATCAGAAAGAGAGAAAGAAATCAGAAAGAAGAGAGAATGTGAGACTGAGACATTATGCCTGACAAGTTATATTTTCTCATCCGTTTCCAGACAAGTGACAATTCACTCAAGGGAAGGGGTTGCACTGGCCAGTACAGTGATTTAAAGAGGCAGACAAACAGATACACAAACA